TTGAATCAGATTCATAGACACAGAGAACAAACTGATGATTACCAGAGAGGTGAGGGGTCTGGGGGCTGATGAAAAAATTAAGAGGATTAAGAAATACAAACTGGTAGTTACAAAACAGACACTCATAGGTAGACAGAAGTATTTGAACCTAACTGTTCACTACAGCAGATTGGGAATAACAACATTGCCAGATAAACCCCAGAAACAACCTAGAGTCCATGCAAATATGAAAAAGAACTAGTTACATCCCAAAGTGAAAACAAAAATGATCTGCCATATATCAAGAGTGCTAATGGGTGCTTAATAGATGTTAATCCTATTATATTGAGATTGGCACTAGGGAGAAGTTAGATGATATCAAGACCTATTCAGAGATGGAGTGAGATAGAATACAGAGAGAGGATAAAGATAGAAACAGAGATAGAGTTAGAGATAGGGATAGAGTTAGAGGTAGAGGTAGAGATAGAGGTAGGTCAGATAGATAGAGATAGAGATAGAGATAGAGATAGAGATAGAGACAGAGAAAGGGACAGATACAGAGATAGAGTTAGAGGTAGAGATAGACAAGAAAGCTGCTTTAGATAAATGCTTGTGTTCCCACAAAATGCAAATGTTAAAATCCTAGCCAGTAAGATAATAGTCATAGGGGGAGGGGTCTTGGGAAGATGACCAGATCATGAGAGTGGAGCCTTTACAAAAAGAAGTCCTCAGAGAGCTCCCTTGCCCCTTCCTCCATGTGAGGACACAATGGGAAGACATCCGACTATGAACCAGGAAGTGGGCCCTCACCAGACACCCAATCTTTTGGTGCCAATATCTTGGACTTCCAGCCCCCAAATTGTGAAAAATAAATGTGGTGGGGGGTTTTTTGTTTGTTTGTTTGTTTGTTTCTTAAGCCACCAGTTTATAATACTTATGTTACATCAGCCTGAACTGACTAAGACTCAGGCATATACCTGCATTTGCATGAAACACTCTGGAGGAAAATATTACGGATTGGTACCTGCACTTTCCCGCAGGGAGACTAAGAACTGGGCTTGAGGGCATTAGGGATTTTCATTTCCATTGTAGACCTTTCCTAATGTGTGGCTTTTTAACCATTAACTTGAATCAATGCAGTAATAATACTAAATTTAATGACTAATTAACAAAAAGGAATGCATTGAGAAGCTTTCCCCACACTTAGCTACATCATTGACTTGCAGAGCAGAGCCAATGTGTAAAGGATTAAGAACAGGGGGTCATCACCAACCAAGGTCTTATCTTCTTAAGGGTATTAATGATGTCTGGAGACACAACACTCAGTGAAAGCAGCTGAGGATTAAGAAGAAGTTGGTTCCTTAAACAGCTCTTCTCTCTGTCAATAGAGCCCAGAGCTCCGGGGAACAAGCTCTGGGACCCACATTCTTTCTCCCATCAGATCCCAGAGCTGGTGGGAGACTTTCAAACAGACTGCAGAGGTGTTAAAAATAGAAGTTAAGTTGCTATTGGAGATACACAGAGAATTCACCACTTGCAAATCTCTAATTATAATATGTCAAAAGTAAAATACCTTGTCAGGAGCAGTATCTAATATAATGCAGTATTGGCTCTGTCAGCACAGTGATCCATGATGTGTTGGGAGGCCCGCATTAAATAGACATTCGGCAGGAAAATGTCCTGCAGGGATTCATCTCAGCCCTTGGAGGACTGAAAGGATGAGCGGGGAAGTCTTTGCTGTCTCTTCTCTCCTCCGCTCTGGCTGGGAGCTCTGGGTGCAGCCTGCTTCCCTTCTACAGTCTGCACTTTATGTTAAATCATGTGCATACATTAGAAGTTCTTGGAGACTAGCAGATGGATGGATTGTTTCTCTCACCCGAAGCGACTCGGTTTCTCAAAGAAATGATGGCCTCCACAATGCTCCGAGAGAGGCATTAAGCACCATGCCAGTGTGTCAGAGAACAGTTAGCGTTATGGCAGGTACAACACTAACCCATGGGGAAGGACTTAACGTGTGCTAATATCGGGTTGGGACAGCCATGGGTCTGACCCACTTTGAGGCTCAACTCCTTCCCTGGGAAATGCAGAGCCTGGAGAAAAGAGAAGGAGCACTCTGTGCAGACACGGAGAGAACTGGAAGCAAGCTTCTCATCAGCCATGTTCTGCACAGTCAGGCCAAGAAAGCCCAACTCAGAGTAGGTCACAGACAGAGGAAGCATCTTCTTTTCTGGCCAAAGGAGAGAAGCCCGTAGGTCTGTAATCATCTGCAGCAGAAAACTGGATGGCCCTTCTTTGGGCCGTCAGGATCAACCACAAAGCCACCTGCCTCCACTGATGATGGTTCTCTTTCCTTTAAAACTTCAAGTGAGAGTATGTGCCACACAAATATTGCCAAAGAAGGCAAAATAACCAGCCTCTCCACAGATCCACACACTCCAAACCCGGAGAGTGCTCCTTGCCATTCAAATACTTTAGATATCGCTGTCGGAGTCTAGGTTGCCCAGTTTCAGAAACGATGCTGTTGTTTTCTTGCTTTAGGACTCGTCACTTTGCAATGAGAACAGAACACACATCCTATTATCTCCAGTGGCCCTTATGCTCTACAGGCAGAGCACAGGCCTGCTCACCTGTACAGCTAGCTCCCTGCAGGGCCTGGGCTCTGTGGACAGTCCGCCTGCTATTTAATTATAATTGTGTGGATCTCTAAAAAATTCTTTTTGTGAAAGAAGGACTTTGAGCATGTCAACTCCCAGACTGGATTAAAATTTCCTTTAGGTAGGCATAATTAAGCCTTTCTTTTAAACTCTCATGTTGTAAGTCCTCTGGCTCAAACCCTTTTCAATGACTCCCCATTATTGCTAACCTGGAATTCCACCCCTTATCGAACCCACCAGGCCTGTGGGGTGTGATACCTACTGATTCCTTCCATTTAGTCCATTGTCACTCTACCCCCAAAGCCTCTCCACATGCCCTACATACACTGGCCTCTTTTTAGTTCTTTGAATGAGTCAAGGTCAGGACTACTGACCTTGTCATTCTTCCTGCCTGAAAAGCTTTGTCTTCTCACCTTAAATATCATCTCCTTGAAGAAAGGATCCCAGACTACTCATTTGCAAGCTGTGCCTCTGCTCTTTTTTATTCTCCCATAGCATCTGTCTTTTTCTTAAGAGCATGGATCATCATTTGTGTTTCTATAGCTGTTTGGTCACCACATGTTCACTCTGCCTCTCACACTAAGTTTCAAGAGGAAAAGGACCATTTCTGTTTGATTCAACCACATCACCTACCATGAGTCCAGGCCTCAGTAGATGTTTAATAAATATTTGTGAATGAATGAATGAGTGTGCGACTGATTGACTGACTGAACCTTTCAAATCAGTAGTATAGTTGGCATATGTAGAGGCTTAATGTCTGATTTAACCTTTTTTTTTTTCCTGTCCTAAAATAGCCTCCTGAAGCCCTATCACCTTGATTATCACAAAATAAGCACCAAGCAAATAAACAACAACTCTATCACTACCATCTGGTTGTCAAAAATACAAATACCTGTGAAATCAGCAAACACATTTAATAGACTAAACCCTAAGTTGTAGCAGCAGCCAGACACAAAAAGGCACGAGCAGTACTATTCACAAGAGCCAAAGGTGAAAACAACCCAAGTGCCCATCCATGAATGAATGAAAAAACAAATGGCTTTTCTACATAATGGAATAGTATTCAATCATGAAAACTAAGTGCAGTACATTTCACAATATGGATGAACCTTGAAAAATTCTAAAATTGGACAGAAGGTAGACACATAAGAATATATAATTTCATCTCTATGAAAAATCCCAAATAGCCAATCCATATAGACAGAAAACAAATTAGTGGTTGCCAGGAGTTGGTGGAAGGCAGGATGGAGATTGTCTGCTTAATGGGCATAGAGGTTCCTTTGGGTGATGAAAATTTTGAACTGGATAATGATGATAGTTTCACTGCACTGTGAATGTACCAAATGTGAGGGAACTGCTTATATTAAATGGTTAAAATGGTAACTTTTCCTGTTTTGTACAGCAATAAAGAGAGGAAAAGGGCAATAGAAAAGTTTAGAATGTGTATTATTTTTTAAATTCTCCAAATCTAACCTCCAGGTATCAGGTACTAAAGACACCAGGAATCAAACATAGTAAGGGTTGCTTTTAGTTACAAGAAATATTATGCTTTAAAACAATAAACTTCTTCACCAACACTGGTTTCCCAGAGGCCTGGGGGCAGGAGACAGAGGCACATCCACCTTTCAGTTACAAAGGACTCTAGACGTGAGGCTGGGTGAGCCCAAGCTTCCAGAGAATTCTGCAGAACAAAGTTCCACAAATACACATGTACATCTGGTGGGTGTGGTTACCTTAAGTAGCTCACAAACACACTTCCATTCTGATAATTACTTTGTTTAGGATGATCTTTGATTCATAGCTAATAACATTCATTTTTAATGATGCTAGTATAATAATGTTTTGTTTTTGTTTGTTTGTCTGCTTGTTTTAACCCGTTTACCCCATTCACCTGCAATAAATGTGACTCTTTTGGGTACACAGAGTTACATAACCACCACCATCAGGGTATAGAATGATTTCACTGCCCTGCAAGGTTCTGTTCTGCTGCCTCTCTGCTGCCCAGGCCTGCACATCCCAGGGTGCAGCAACAATATGGGAAAAAACAGGGACATGCATGAAGACTAGGATGCATCTCTAGCACATTAGGCTAAATAGAGGTGGGGTGCTGGTGCAGAGATGCAGTGTGGCCACAAACGGCCACAAGATTTGTGTTTGGGGAGATGGAAATACTCCAATAGACGGTGGAGGATGCCTGGTGAGGAGGCATCTTGGCAGAACTGGGGTGGCAAGGTCAGGATTTAGGGCTGCTTTATGGGCAGAAAGCTTGGACAGGGGTGCACCCTGCTGTCACTACAGGAACCCTGGGTGCGATCCCTGCCTGACCCCCTCCCACCCGTGCCCGCGGGGAACCTGGAGCCCACTTACTGTGGCGGTGCCCGAGACGGTCTGCGCGCTGGTGTCCGCGGCGCTCTGCTCCGAGTGGGACTGCGCGGGAGGGTACAGGTTTAGCGTGTGCTCGGGGACGGTGGTCTGGCCGGGGTACTCTGGCGCAGGGTGCGGGTGGGGGGCCGTGTATTCCGCGGGGATGCCATTCTGAGGGGGAGCGAACTGGGCCGAAGCGTAAGGCTGAGCCATTGTGTCAGGGGCAGCTGCTGCTTCCTGATTACCCTGCAAAAAATCAGAAGTGGATAGAAGGAGAAAGCGTGAGTGGCCACCGGGCAGAACTTCCCCCAGGCCCTGGACCACAGTGACCCGGACATGGTGCCAAGAGCCTGAGTCCGTGCAGCCCAGTGCATCTTCCTCAGACGCTCTGGGGAAGCAGTCACCCTCATTTATACAACCCATTCTCCAGATGCAGACATCAAGGCTGTGAAATCAGATGTCACTTTCCCCAATCATCCAGCTCAACAGCCCCAGGCTGGGAGGGTCTATGTCCCACCGACCGACTTGTCTGGCAGATCGTCCTTCTCTCAGTCCCATTTGGGGGACATGTGAGCATGGGGTTGTCTCCCGGGACAGCAGAACCTTGCGCTGATACTTAAAACGCCAAAAGCGATTAAACCGAACATGCGTGTTCCTGAGAGGAGAGACAATTCATCTAAGCATTTGAATTTAATCAAAGTTTTATGTGTCTTGGCACACATGGTGGGACTGGAGGGTCTTGTTAATGATCGCAGCGTGTGTGTGTGTGTGTGTGTGTGTGTGTGTGTGTGTGATGTTCCAATGAAATTCAGGGCCTAATTTGGACAAAGATGGCCCTCTGTGATAGCCCCATTTTAAGTAACTCTGCAGAGTGCTGGACTTAGCTCAGCCTCCTTAGTTAATGCCTCCCCCAGCCCCTGTCTTCCTGTCTTATTTTTTTTTTTATAAGCACAGAGTATTATATAACAATTCACTCTTCAGATCTAAGCAAAACATGCAGTGTGATAATTACAGCCAAGTGAAAAGAATTAAACACACACACACACACACACACACACACACACACACACTCGCACCCTAAATTCAAATGTTCCATTTCAGGAAACATCTATCTCTCTCCACCTCCACCTCCACTCCCATCCCCATAACTCTACTACCCTACCCTACACACACACACATACACACACACACACACACACACACACACACACACACACACACAACACAGCAATCGCAGCAGCAGAAACCGCAATCCAGAGGTCTGAATTGTCCATGGTCTCAAGAGATGGGATTGCACAGATAGTCAGAAGGAGACAGAAGAAAACACCCTAGCAATTAAGCACTGAAGAGCTGCTTTGCATCGTCTGTGGTCAATTAGAAGTGACCTCAGCCCTCCCACAATGATAGCAGGGCCAACATGTCAGAATCGCTCCCATCCGTCCTCACCACCAACAAACGAGCACCTCTTTGGTTAAAGCAAGACAGTGCAGCTGGGACATTCTAACACAGAGGGAAGCGAAGTTTATTCTCACAGCAGCGCACGGAGCCAGCTCGTTTGTTTAGAGGGGACTGTAATTAGAACGTTAAGGATGACACGCTGAAGAGGACTTTGCTTAGGCTAAGTTTAAAACGTTTTGCAAGTGAAAACATTCCCATCAGGCCCTCTCCTCCCCAGCATAACTGCTCCAAATGTCTGTGCCATGGGCAGCAGACATGCACAGCCACTTCTTTCTAACCTCTTTCCGTAGCATTTGGGGCTGAGCTGGGTCTGTCTGTCCTGTGGCTGAATCGCTATACGTGACGGGAAAAGTTGACCCTATCCATCCCTAGCAAACACGAGGTCACTCATTGTTATTGCCACGCAGTGTTCACTTTCCTTCAAGGAAAATGCTCTGTTCCTTTCAGCGTGGAGAAGGGGGGACCCATCCCCTCTCAGTCTAGTGCAGATATGGCTGAGCCCCGCCTCCCAAGACCTATGGATACAGTCATGTGACCTGGCCTGCCTAATCAATGGGTGCCACTCTCTTATCCAGCTGGTGTGGCTCAGTGATTGGTTGAGCATCAACCTATAAACCAGAAAGCCATGATTTGATTCCCAGTCAGGGCACTTGCTGGGGCTATTGGTTCCATCCCCATTAAGGGCCCTGCAGGGGGCAGCCAATCAGTGATTCTCCCTCATCATTGATGTTTCTATCTCTCTTTCCTCTCCCTTCCTTTCTGAAACCAATTAAAAATAAAAAATTTCAAAAAGGTTTTCACTCTCACAGTCACCAGGATGTGTGTTCATGCCCATCTATCTAAACTAGTTAGCCAGTTAACCCATTGTAATTCTAATGAGGCTCCCTCATAATGTAAGCCTGAGCTGCCAAGAACCACCCTTTGAAGAGGGACTGCCTAAAGCCGAAGCCAACCTAGAGGAGAGCGAGCCCAGAAATTGATAAACAGATAAACTGAGTCCCAGAGAGTTCATTGGAGGTCTTGGATGCAGCTTTACCTACAGTTAGTAATGCTTTAGTCACACAAATCGTTCAAGGTCTTATTTTGTTTAAGCTTCTTTTTCTGTTACTTGTAAGCTAAAGGGCCTTGGTTAGCAACCCCTCCTGAAAAAAATCCTCAGCTGCTCATGAGCCCAGGAGCACCCTTTTTTTTTTCTGTCGGGCTGTGCAGGGAACATAGCTTCGCATACAGACATTCCAAATGGATGATGCTTCTTTCTGGCTGAGCAAAAGCCCCAGAAACTACTGGACCTGAGAAATCTCCAAAGAGAAATGCACGGGGACAGGTCCCACCTCTGCACAAAGGTCTGCTGCAGCCTGCCCTGCTTTCTGCCAGGCTCGCCTCTGAATTGAAACAAAGGCTTGTGAGAACCCCAGGTGAGGCCTCCTAGGGAGCATACAATGATGGCAGGAGCAATGGTAGAGAGAGATGGTCCCTAAGGATAAAGGTTATTCCAGCAGAAAACACAATATTCTGGGAGGGAACCCTGCCCGAGTGGCCTTTCCTTACTGCAGAGCAAGCTCAGGAACAGTGACCCAGTCCCACAAGCCCCAACAAGATGCGCAGGCTCTCTGCTGGGATCTGAGCTCTCTCTGTTTCAGAAAAGGAAGGGCCTGCTCTCAGGAAACCGTGATCGCTCCATCCTCCCACCACCATCAAGTCCTGCCCTTCACACTTCCTCTGCATGGAAAGCCTTCCCCTCCCGATTGCTACTCTCTGCTCATCCTTCAGGTCCCAGATCAAGAGAGCTCTCTTCTAGCAAGCCTTCCTTGGCACTTAAGCCACGTCACTTGCCTGCCTTCTTTACCTCACTGCAGCTTGTGGCCACTTCTCTCATAATCCCAAGTCCCGTCATTGGCTGCTTGTCCCTGAACTTCTCGGGGGCAGAAGACTGTGTCAGGTTCTCATTCCATCTCCAGTCTGGCCCACTACTTGCTTTTTGTTAATAAAGTTTTACTGGGACACAGTCATATTCCCTGTGCTAAGATGGCAGAGTTGCATAATTCGGACAGTCACCTAATGGCCTCCCAATGCCTAAACTATTTAACCATCTGGCCCTTTCCACAAAAGGTGTTCTACTCTCTGTGGCAGAGTGTTATTCAATAGCCATACCACTTCAGAAGCCAGCTTTGCATCCATAGGGCAGGAAATAAAGCTGGTGATAAAGCAGGGAGAGAAAGGGGTGCATTCTTTCTGCACCAAGGAGGGGAGGCTCAGCTGGACTTGGAGAGCCTCAGTGCTGAGGATGGAGCAAAAGGGTGAGTGGGGATCTTTTTCCAAGTTTGCTTTTACATCAGGGACTCTCTGAATTGTAATGTGCATGCACACTTGTAGGCCTGAAACCCAGCACAAGTAGAGTAAGGTGACCAGACATCCCGCTTTTGATGGGACTGTCCCGATTTTTAACAATTTGTCCCGAGTTCCACAGTTAAAAATCGGGACAGTCCCACCAAAAGCGGTACGTCTGGTCACCTTAGCTTAGAAGGGGAAGATCTGAGATGGCTTCTGGCTCCCATGCTCAGTCTGAAAGGCATCAGTGTCTGAAAGGCAGAACACAAACCCAGGGCCCCCTTCCTTCAGGCCTATGGGCACTTGCCATCAGTGATGAAACAGAGGAAAGGGATCCCCAGGGGACATTAGGTAATGATCCAAGACATTTTTGGTTGTCACAACTTGGGAGGAGGGCTGCTACTCAGATCGAGTATGTGGAGACCAGGGATGTTGCCGACGCCCTACATCGCATAGGCCAGCCCCGCGCCTGAGGATTCCTGGGCTCTGGCCTGAATGCTCATCATGCGGAGGTCTAGGCTCCCTGCCCGGCGTGCATTGCCTCTCTAACCTTACTTGATTCTGTTGTTATGTAGACTGAGGCCCAGAACTGGTAAAGGAGTCACAAGGCCAGAGCTACAGGTAGCTCTTCGGAAAACCAGGAGCTGAGCCAGAGCTCATGTTGTCCCAGGTGCCTCTCAGGTGGCAGGACTCTTACCTGGTGGGGAGGTTTGTTCCAGTTTTTAAATAAGCAAAACTGTCTCTTGCAAGCACACCATGTCCTCAAGACCCGTTTCCACCCGGTGATGTGGTGCTGGGGTATTTAATGCAAAGGCACCAGCATTGCACTGGCCAGTTTGGCTCAGTAGATAGCGCATCATCTCAGCCTGTGGACTGAAGCATCCTGTGTTCGATTCTCATCAAGGGCACATATCTCAGTTGTAAGCTTGATCCCCAGCCCGAGTCCGGGTGTGTGCAGGAGGCAACCAATCAATGTGTCTCTCTTATATTGATGTTTCTCTCTCCCTCAGTTTCTTCCGCTCTCTCTAAAATAATCAATGGAAAATTTCCTCAGGTGAGGATTAAAAAAAAAAAAAATGGTGTCAGTGTTCCATCAGCCAGACCAGGGTGTTAACCCTTGGCGAGGGTTAGAGCTCCAGCTTGGATAACTCTGCCATCTCAGGCCGGAGGCCTTGCTTCAGAAGCCTCCAAGGCCACCATAGGAAAAGCAAGGACCAGCAGTCGCACCACTGGAGCCGGGACAAGCCACCTGGTACCCCCAGGGTGCTGAGCGCTAGGAAGCGTGTCCCTGGTCTCCGAGGAACCTGCAGGCACATCGGGGTACACAGGGCCCGACTGCACTCCTGTTCCTGGTGCCCAAACAGATGTTGGCGGGACCCCCCGTAGTCACTTATTAACACTGACAGCAGTTCCAGAGAGATCCTAATTAATATTCCGACCCTTTGCACTTCAGGCTAATT